CCAGCTTAAGTCCAAACAAACATTTGTTCTCTAGTATCAACGTTTGTGGGCCCATCAGGTATCACAGGAGACAAAGCAATAAATCTTAACACTTAGATGTCCAATGCCATATTCAGGAACCTGCTTACAGCAGAACCTTTACTGATATGGCACTGCTAAAATAAGTTGTGTTATTGTAGACCAGAAAGATTATATATGAGGAAAAGATCTACATCCGGTAGAACCCAGAAATCAAGACATATAAATATAGCTGTTATAAAGATAAATTCTGGGCCCTTGGCCCCCACTTTTTTCAAGTCAACTGAATGTGTGTTGTTTCCCCAACCTTGAGAGTCAGGGACATCCTCTTTTTCTGTTTACATGACAGTTCTGGGGAATCCTCGGTGCTGTCTGAGCTTGTTGTTTGAGCATTGATGCTTTTGAATATAGGTGTTAGAGAAGACTCTTGAGAAGACCGTAGGTAACCAAGAAGACAAACAAATGGATCATCAAAGAAATCAACTCAAGACTTTTCAGTTGAGGCACAACTGACCAGGCTCAAATTATTCTACTTCAGATACATTATGTGAACAAAGACCTAGCTGTCTGGAGTAAACTGTAGTGCTGGTAAGAGTGGATGGAAAGAGAAGAGGATGATCCACAGTGACAATCGGTGCACCACTGGGACACTTGAAGGCACAGGTGGGCTTCACATAATTTAACAACCGGTTCGCCTAGTGCAGAACCAAAAACGTGAGCGCATGCACACACATGTATTTCACACGTGCACGAGTTCAAACACATGGCAATTTCATGCACGCAACTTCCAGCACGCCTTCTTGGGCAGCCACAGTGAGTAGATCAGGCAAGGCGCGGAAATCAGCTGACCTGCATGGGCGGGGCAAGCGAGCCAGAGAGCGAGATAGCACTGGGTTGGGTGCGTGGGCCCAGCCGGTGGTCGGAACTACCGGTACAGGCAAATCGGTCCGAATCGGCAGCATCCCACCTCTGCTTGAAGGCCACATTAGGGATAGATTGTAGCAGAGAAAATAGTGTCATTAAAAGTCAATACTGACTTCATATCACATATTAAGTCGGCCGATCAATCAATCAGGCAAGCAAGCAGGCAATCTGAACTAACTACCAAGCTGCCAGCGAGCTTTAGGTCCTTTCACATCACATCTTTCAAAGAATAAAATGACAGCCCATTTGTAGTATTTTACACCAGAACAAAATTCTAGGTCAAGAAAGAACACATTCCTAGCCAGAGAGAAAGAAAACTCTTCCAGGATTAAATTATTATGGAGCACACGCATTTTCCTTAATGAACCAATCTGGTTAAAAAAAATGCTTTAAGGCATTCACAAATACTTTAAAAACAGCAGATCCTCTGGTATATATCTCAAGATGCAGTCAACAGAGACATTTGATTGTCCATTGGGAGGCAGAATAATTTGCCACACCCCTTATTATTATACCAGCATAAGCAAAACCTATTAAAATAAAATATATCAGAGACCCAGAGCTTTTTATATTACAGTGTCACATGAATGGACCTGCTACTATATAGTTTAAGAGTTCCAAGGATCTTTATTTCTCCAGGCTGAATTTTTTAAAAATAGAAATAGAACTAGTTGATAATGGGAATGGAGAAGAAAAGGCTGCTACAGAAGTCTTTAAATGAGAATTCAGTAGAAGATAAAAGATTTCCACATATAAACCAACAGGTCTATTAACTTAACTATTACCCATTCCTACGAAAATTGGAATATAGTCTGCATATATGCCTATGAAAAGCTAGGTGTTTGAAACAGGCATAGGTCCCCTATAGCAATGTGCATATATCTGCACAGTGTAATTTGTATGTAGAGATGCAAATGAAGACCAACTTTGAAATGGCGGGGAGAATCTAAAATCTCTTGATCTTTCTTTTTCAGAATTTGTATTTTAACTTTTAAAATAAAATAAAATGTTTGTGTGTGTGTGTGCGTGCATGTGTGTTGATATTTCATAATAGTGGCATTTAGGCAACTCACCTGACTTTTTTTCCATGTTCACATCTCTGATTATGCCTCTTCCTTTCTCTTTAGTCAAATGTCTTTTGCACGTGAGATTAAGGGTCACATCTGGCTTTAGACTAACATGCCAGCATAAAACCAACATTTGATAGAAATTAAATACAGTGTTTAAATTATCTCCTTTCTCACATAATTACAATTTGGTAGCACTTCGGATATGCCAAAGTTGTGCTAGGCACTGGGAAATGTTGTTTGAATACGTCCAGAGGGCTCTAGATGACCGCTAAAGGGGATTTTCACATTCCTATCCAACAATATAAAGATGCTCTTGTAAGCTCAATTTCTGATGATTTGTAGACACAATTATGCCATTTTGCAAGCAATGATGTCTAGGTATTTGGTCACTTTCTATGAGGATATTTTAACTTCCTAATCCTAGCGTAAAACTTTCAATAATTTCTGGTGGTCTCCCATTCCAGTACTAACCAAGTCCAACCTTGCTAGGTTTCTGACCCCAGACAAGACGGTTAAGACTTGAGGCAGAATATACCTGAGAAGCAGGAAGGATCCAAAGAGCAATTACTTTGGACCAATCAGGTGAATTTTCTCTAGTCGAAAAGAAGAACTAATCAACTGATCAATGCTGTCTAAGAGGAAGACCTCTTTTCTCTGCACACCCCAGAAATTGAGGAAAGGTACAGGCCACAAATTGGGGCATGGTAATCTTAAGGAATCTCAGACAACAGAGCCTTCTGGAACAAAACTCCTGAAGGTTCCAGTAGCTTTAAGATCTTACCAGTCAAAGGTGGTCTTCAAACGGTTTCACCCACTCCTGGTATCTTTTTTGGGCCTCAACTTGTTATGATCTCCTCTCCAACCAAAAATTAGATTCTTAAAGTGTAACTTTGTGTAAATGAAAGAAAGAAAAAATCAGGAAAAAGATGGTTGGTAAGGTCTTGCTGGAGAGTGTTTGATCATAAAATGTAATGGAATGTGTCGATGACCTGGATAGTTTCAAAAGCCAAAAAAATGGTTATCATATAAAGTTAAAGGCCACATAGTTCTCAATTCCAGTTTCCAGAAAATGTAGGTGGAAGGGCACTAATGCACTTATATCTACTGCTAAAGGATAATATTTGTAGTTCAGGGTTGAAATTAGAGCTCCTTGGTACTCTCTGAACCTGCAAGAAAACAACTAAGCTCCGAGAGTCTGCACATATGCCTTTTTGATAGGCTTCTAGGAGGCTGACCACAATAGGACCAGATTGCTGGGCCAGCTCAGCTTTAATCTTGTCATTAATTATCAGCATTAATACTGAAAAGTGTAAACCATCCCAAATTCAGATATTTTAGATTGGAGGGTCTATTTACATTAAATACCTACAGTATTTATTTCCAGAGCTGAGTGAAGGCCTTGGCAAATGACTTTATATTGCTACAGCCAACTGTAAACCACAAAGACTTCTGCTGACCGTGAGACCACCAAACCTTAACCATTACCATTGTTCAAGTCATTGGAATGTATGGTCTGTTTAAAAAAAATGTTGACCAAAAAAAATCTTTCAAAAGAGTGTGCATGATGTTCTGAAATTAGTACAAGCCTCAAAAAAGAACACAGTGGCTGTAATAATTTCCAGTAAGTATTTTGCATGTTTTTTTTTGTTTACTAATTATAATTATGTGGCCTTTGAGCAAAACACAGACTAAAAGGAAATGCTTTCAGGTCAGAGCATTTCATTTTAGAAACCTGGCACCGAATACGCCTAAGCTTCTCAGCCAAGCATATTTTCTTTGGGGGGAAATCTTCCCAGAATTGTGCCAGGCTCATCATCCTGTTTGGTAGCATGACCCAGAGTCCTACAGTGAATGTGATATTTCTAGTACATCTGAACCTTTAACTCTTGTCATTTACCCTCCAGAGGGAGGGCAAAAAAATATTTGTTAGAAGACAGCTACCTGAATTATAAATCCTGAGATGCCTAGTTCTCGCCTGCCCTCTAGTGGGCTTAACTGCAAATTTATATAAATTTAAAGATAACCTTTCACATGTATAAATTTAAAGATAACCTTTCACCTTCCCTTTATGTTCTACACTGAAGCTAATTTATGAATTGTGACAGCCATTTCCATACCACCATTTCCATCAAGAATTGCTAAGCTTAGAATTGAAATTGGATTGTGATGTCAATTCTATATATGACCGGTCAAAAAAGTGCAGATACTCTTGTTTAGCAACCACAATTTTCATTGGCAACTCAGTTATCAAGATAAGTGAAACTGGAACCTGTGTTTGTGATCTTATTTCAGCTTTCATTTGCTTTACACCCCTGTTAAAGGTCATAAATGTGGGGACTGATTGTAAAGTTATTTTTCCATCACTGTGATATCTGCAAAGTCACTAAACAAGAACTATCTGTAACTCCCATTGAGTCTACAGGCTCAATGTAAAATATAGGGTTGCTATGTTAATTACCTTGTTAACAATACAGCACAACTGTTAACCTTGTTCATTTATAAACTCTGGAATGTTTATGGTGGAAACTGATTAAAGGGACACTGGCAGTCTGAGTTTGCTCTATTAGAAGAAATCATCCAAGACACAAGTGCCATCAGTAGAATCCCTCTATAAGGTATTCCAGGCACCTACTTTTATTATCTTTCCTGCACAAAAGGCATTTATATTCTGCCACTCTTTTAAATAGGGTAACATGTCTCCTCCACTTGTGGCCCTTCTGTTTCTGTTTAGGTTTCTTCGTTTTATCTCTGAAACAATGACCCAACAGGCCACAGGTTATCTAGTAATAATCAATCCTCTTATTTGAAACTGAAATCACACAACATCTTCACAGTACACTAGAACTGATTTGAAACTTTGCACAGCTATTCCTCCACACATATTCTTCCTTTTAAAATGTAAACCTCCTCTTGTTTCTCCTTCCTGCAGTGTGAAGCGTTTTCAACAAATATAGCAAGAAAATGGAAGGACGCAAAAGGACTCCTAGACACCATTTATTTTTCACTTCAATTCGGAATTTTATCTCCAGTGACCATGTTTAAGTCCTTAATTATTCTACCTTTTGATAAGCCCACCTCATTAAAGACTTACTATAATCTGTCTATGTGATACTGTCACTAAGTTAATTCAGAAAAGGAGAATATTTTGGAAAATCTACACAAATTTAGTGCCAATACAATCAAAGTTTGTATCATGTACATATTTTGCATTCCTGTCGCAGTAGTACATTTCAGTATGATTACATATTTTAAATATTAGCTTTTCCATATAAAAGACTATTTATTGTCTTGCATGCCTTATGCTTCTCACTTGTTCAGAAAATATTAACATCCGTTTTCCTTGGGAATTTTTCATTCCGACAGTTATTGACAATAGTGTATATACACAAACAGCTATAGGAAATGACAGTGATTTTTAATCAAATGTAGAGCAGCTTTGGCAACACCTTCTTTAGGAGGATTGGCATCAAGGATATGACATGTTGGATTTTCCATTCTTCTGTAAGACTCTTCAACTCTATTTTAAAAAATACATAGCATCACCAAATGTACAAAAACTTTGCATTCACACTAAGAGCCAACCGCAAAACTTTCAGTGTAGTATATACTTCAGACGCTATGAATTGTGATTTAAATACTGCACTGGAAGGATTCAGATAGCCATTATTGCAAAATTAAGCAAACTGATATGTCATCCCAGGTTGTCTGAAAAGGATTTTTAATAGGGCTTGCAAAGCTTTAATTTTAAGCTTCGATCTGAAAGTGAGGCAAATTGTCTCCTCAGAACTGAATGCATCAGTTAACTTCAAGTCAATTCAAAGATTTCATGAAGTTTTATACATATGCATAGGCACAATTATTAAAAAGAATCTGAATCAGAGCTTGGCTTAGTTTTTGTGTTTCCTATCTTTGGATATGTTATGGAGTCCAGCTACTGGACTGTAGTCCAGCTTCAATTACTATGGAGCACAATTGCATCTAAAAACACGGAGGCTTATCTGACTGAAGTGGTTACTATTTGCAGCTAGTCTACCTGGTATTTTAGGACCCCTCACCCAAGGCAGCAGACCCTGCAAAGTGCGATGTAACACATGTACACCATCCTTCTAAGGGTTTTTTTGTTCACCAAAACCAGTACACAACTCTTCCTAAGATATACATATTTACCATAATTATCAAGCCCCAATACACTTTTTCCTTATCATAAAAAGAGCAAGATTTTCATGATTTGCTAAGAGGGAATATAGTGGCACCTTGTTTTGCATTTCAGTACATACTTTTGACGGAAGACATCATTCGCTTCCAAATCAACCTCTTCTCTTGTTTTCTCAATCCCACGTCCCTGTAGCCTCCGGACTCTTTCTTCAGGGCTAACAGTCAGGAGCAGGACAATGTCTGGACTCAGAAGATCATCAGGCCAGTGATACACCAGGTGATGAGGTGGAGGAAGATTTTGCACATTCCCTGTTATTTCAGTTGCAATTGCGTATGCTGCAGTGCTGTGCCAGTATCTGTCCAAACAAAGGCATCAGAGTGACTTTCAGATGAAGATCATTCTTTGCTTCTAGAACCAATCAGGTTTTACATATGAAATGAACTTTGAAGGCAACTCTGCCTCCCTCAAAATGGTCATGGGGAAGGGTGGGCTCTCTCTGGGATCCTTCTCTTGTGGAATGTCATCTTCAGGGATCAGGCCTTCTCAGCTGCAGCCCCACTTCTCTGGAACATCATTCCAAAGACTAGAATTCACACTACTCGCTTTTCCGAAAGCTAATAAAACTAGCTTTACTGAAGTCCTTTGAGAGCAAAATTACAACAAGGGGGAAGCCTCCTGTTGTATTGTGACTGTAATGTGGGATATTGGTATTTTAATGTTGCATTTTTGTAAGCTGCCTTGAGTCTTGTTGGATGATCAGTATGTACATTTTAAGATATATATATATACAGAAGCCTGATGATGGCAGATGAGATTCTGCTGAAACGTTACTACAACTTTAAAAGAACAACTACAATGACGTGGGAAAATACCCGAACAAAGCCGAATGCCATACATGTAAATACCCGCGAAAACTTAAGAAATATATATATATATATATATATGTATGTATGTATGTATGTATGTATGTATGTATGTATGTATGTTTTCTTAAGTTTCGCGGGTACTTACATGTATGGCATTCGGCTTTGTTCGGGTATGTTCCCATGTCATTGTAGTTGTGCTTTTCAAGTTGCCGAAACGTTGCTACAACTTTAAATGACGTGGTTTTAAGGAACACTCACTTTCTCTTCACAAGGATCTTGTCATACAGACCCAAGCAAAGTGATTTTTTCAAAACACAAACTAAGCTCTGTGAAGACTTGAGCTACCTTACAGTACCATCAGCTTTCCCTTACAATTTTGTCAGAAAATAACAGAGTCAGTTGTACAGGTACTTTTCTTCAGACTGCAGTATGAACACCAGCCCCAAATTCAACGTGAGACAAGAATACAATCCATAAACATGGGGGGGGGGGGTTTTCTTAAAAAGTTCATTTTCTGAAATTTAAAAAAATAAAATTTTCTTCTAATAAGTTGCTTGAATGTAATATGGTGTGTGTGTGAGAGAGAGAGGGGGGGAGGAGGGAGGGAGAGAGGGAGGGAGAGAGGGAGGGAGGGAGGGAGAGAAATTACATAAAGATCAGAATTAAGTTATTCTGAGTGAACAAGACTGAAAAAGAATAAATGGCTTTAAGTCCTCTAGTAGCTCTGTTTCTGTATTTATCTCTCCAGGCAGCTGATAAACAAATGCCACATTAAAACACTTCCTTATAATTCACATTTTTTTGTTTTGTTTTATCAGCTTAAAGGATGAGTCATTCTGTGGTTCACTGAGTTTGGGAAATTAAAGTATTGAAAAATCAGGCAAGGTATTTTTTCATTTTACTTATTTATTTAGAAAATTTATATTGTCCCCTATACCCACATGGCGACTCAAGGCGTATCTGTATTTTGACCTATTTTTATCTTAGTCATATGGGTGCCAACGTAATACTGTACCAAACTATACATACTGTATATAGTTACCCTTTTCATGACAGATGAAAAAAATAATTTGGATGGCTGATATATTTTAGAAATAAACTGACCATTGCATTCTCAAATAAGGTCTAGAAATTTACTTTAAAAATCATTTGAAATTTTTAAGACTCCAAAGGAGCCAAATTCAAGGTATCAGCTCAAGAACCCTTATATCCTAATACATTTTTGTAGCAAATATGGTAGTCGCATTATCCATTATATCACTGGTTGCTTTGGAAGCTCCTCAGCTTCGTTCAATACAGATGGGAGCACAAATTAAAAGCAGAAATACAAGTCCTATTCAGCAATCAGAAAAGTCCATAGTTGTTTTGATCCCATTAAATGAAAATTAAGAGTGATACTTTTCTGCTATTGCTATCATCAGATCATCATCATATCATCCTCATGCTATCATCTAGCCTTTTGGGGGGGGGTGTTAATCACTTTTGACCCCAGAGAACTGCCTAGACTAGTCCCTGCAGTTTTCTTGGCAAGGTTCTTCAGAAGTGGTTTGCCATTCTCCCATGAGCTGTTCAGAGCATCCAGTAGTGGGAGGTGCTTCAGTCTCCGCATGTCTAGGCTGGGCTTAATTTGTGGAACGCTCCTCCTCCTCCACGGTACTCCTCCCCAGTGTTCCCCAGTTTTTGGCTCAGCCTCGTGAGAGATAGGCAGTGCTTGTGATTCTTCCTTGGCTGAAACAGGAAAAAATCTTTCCTTGCTAGCAGGTTTGAAGGTTAATCAGCTTGTCTTGGCTAATACTTTAGCCTTCTAATCCTATTGCGATTTCTCGAAGTTGGCTCGCATTGCAGAGATCGCTCGCATTTCAGGGAAGCGCCATTTCGTGCCCCAAAGCGGCGGGAGGCTTCAGCGCTGCTCCGCGCCCCCTCCCCACAACCGATCTTTCTACCCCTGCCATTCCAACCGACTGCCGCAGCATTTCTTTACCCAAACAGCAGCGTGAGCTCTTTGCTCTCAACAGAGTCGTATCGCTTTCCTTCCCCCTCTGAACGCCATTTGGGGTGGAGGATTCAAATACTTAGTACCTTCCACGCCGTTTAGCCTCATAGGAAAAGCCATCAGAGGCTATTCCTTTATACGGCGGGAGTTTGCTGCTGGGGAGCACGCCAAAAGATTAACGGCCGGAGGCCATCTTTTCTTACAAGACCTCATGGCCATGCGCCTGTATTCCATTTTGTGCTGTGTGAGGTAGCTCTGTTCCGAGCAGAGGTTCCCTTCAGAAATACTGGGGACCATTATACCCTCGTCTTGGTCTTTTTCTCCATTCGAGGCTATTCTTACAGTTAAATTGTTGGCTTAACCCTCACAGCCCAATCAATCCGGCGGCACAACAGCGAGCACCTAGGCCTCTGTCCGCCTGTGCAGGGAAGCTGTTGAAGGCCTCTATCCTTATCAAT